TTGGATAATTTTTTTGTAAAGTAAATAAACTACCCAGTATGAACGTTTGTATAGCCCTTTTTAAAAACATTCGGTCCTCAAGTTGTAAAATGTGCTAATAACATTATTCTGAGAGTTATTTCCCTCGGCATTATGAACACGAATCTAACCCACGGGACCGCGCTCCCCGGCACGTTCATGTTACGTGTTCAGTACTACATGCGTTTTACCTTTACCCATGGATGCCCAATAAGAACGGAACCATATCGCCTTACTGCTAGCCCACGGAGCTACAATAATGGATATATTGCACATGTTTGCTGTAATTCATCATTTTAAAAATCATATATATATATATATATAGCCTGTGTGTTGTATATTTATACACACAAAGGAACAACCTACAAAACAAATAACAAGTTGTATTGTAGTGTTTATTTTTGTGTTGTTTTATGCTTATCCACATTTTGATTTCAGAGCACAGGACAGGAGAATGCTGGGCACAACATAAAGCTCAACAGTGAAGCTGGCAATGCTGAACAAAACCATCTGGAGTTATAATATTTATTTAGCTGAAAAAGTCAAAGCTCCACCAAAATATAATTAAAAATATATTAAACATGGTTGGCATTTAACAACAAGGGGTGTTATAGTCTGTGTTGTAGTGTGTGCTATTGGTATTTATGGAAACATTGTACACCTTTCCTTCAAGTACTATACGTGTTAGTTACTTGTGGGCTACTTAACATGAATAATCACAGTTACTATCCTTTTACTCCATCACATTTAAAAAAGAAACTATTGTTGTTTTAACTCCACCACATTAATCCATCATCAAAAAAATATATACATATATTTGTATATATTACCAAGTGGTTTCATGTACAACCCACACAAGTATCATGCTAAATTAAGCTCTGTTGCTTGGATATCACTACATCCTGTTACAGTTTAATATAAGTACACAACGATTGATGTGTAAATTAGCATAATTACTAGCTAGCCGCTAGCTGCCGCTTCGTTAATATCAAATCCATCATATAACAATCCAGTACCATGCTGTCATGTACGCGCGGTGCTGTTACGTGTACAAATTGACGTGCTTGATGTGAACGAGCCTTTTGGGGGGCGTGGTTAAAGTTGCGCATGCTCTTTGAGCGCACATACGGGTACTTCTCAGGCATGACGGATCTGTGACGTTTCGCTCTCTCAAAAGTTGGGCCATTTTATTTTCATGCGCCAATGAGCAGCTCTCATAGGAATGAATGAGGCCCCGCCTCCCACGCTGTATCCAGTTCTTATTATACATCCATGAACAAAACTAACAAAATACAAGTAGAAGAAAAGTTAGTATTGCGAGTTCAGATAACACAGGAGCTACAACCCACCTGCTTCTTTTACATCAGCTGTGAGGGAACATTTTGGGTTCCCTGTGGACTACAATAACGATGGAGTGTGCGAGTGGTGGATCGGAAGAGGACGGTGTGCAGGTGTTATGCCGTAGGTTGAAGGCTTGCCGTAGATTGAAGCCTTGTTCACGGGTGACGTCATTGCGTGTATTGAGCGTTCGCCTAGTTTTCGCCTAGTTTTCTAAGCTTTTTTCTCTCTTTTGAATGATATCTTTCCCATCAGATTAAACAGCAAACGGCTGAATAAATAATGTGCACAATTACGAGGAGGCTAGTTTTAAGGACACAGTCTTCGTATTGGAACAAACTTCAGTTTTTAAGTGTAGTCCCACTCTGTTATGTTCCTCCTTCCTACAGAACAGACAATGAAAGGATAAGATTTCATTTGTCAGTATAGTTCTTAAAACCTTCGCTGTTGTTTAAGTGTCTGATACTTGATAACCACAAATATTAATGATATAAAAGTAATGATAATATGATGTATATATATATATATATATATATGATAATGTCAGACACTGTGTTATTTTCAATCAAGCCTAAAAGATCATTTGTTCAAACTGGCTTCACTCGCTTTAATTGCTCCTTTGAATGTAATGTTCCTCTGTGGTTTCCTCCTCAACAAATGTTTGTATTGTAATGCCACTCATATTTTATTTTCTATTTTATTTTAAGGTGACATTGAATGTTTTGAAAGGTGCCCTAAAATAAAGTCTATTATTGATCTTATATCTGTGCCTATATCACACTATTAATGTTCCTTATTTTAGACTAGGTTAATCCTGGTGTCAATAGGGAAGATCTGTACTGTTCTCTTCATAACATCTTCAGCAGAGCAGGTATTTCTCCTGCCAGATTTGGCCCAGCAGGTGAAAAACGAAAGAAGGGCTTCCATATCCGGCAGCCACAACACCTTCTCTGCCGGATATGGAAGCCCCTCTTCAGTTTTTTACCTGCTGGGCCCAGAGTAAAATGCTTTTGTGAGCACAAATTAGGTGGGGAACAGCAAACACCAGTGTGATTTTGGTGACGGTGTGACTGTCCTGGATAAAGTTGTAGGGGGGGTGACATATCTGGCAGGAGAAATACCTGCTCTGCTGAACATGTTATGGAGAGAACAGTACAGATCTTCCCTATTGACACCAGGAAAAACCTAGTCTAAAATAAGGAACATTAATAGTGTGATATAGGCACAGATATAAGATCAATAATACACTTTATTTTATGGCACCTTTCAAAACATTTAATGTCACCTTAAAATAAAATAACAAATAAAATATGAGTAGCATTACAATACAAACATGTGTTGAGTAGGAAACCACAGAGGAAATATATCATTCAAAAGAAAGAAAGTAAATCATTTATTTTGTTTTTCAGCTTAGAAAACTAGGCGAACGCTCAATAAGCCAGATGATGTCACCGTTGCGCGCCCCCGCAAACAGGGCTTTGTGGCAAGCCTTCAACCTACGGCACAACACCTGCGTTGTTAGACAGTGGTGCGGTATGCTAATAGCAACACAAGCCAAACATGCTAAATCATATCAGAAGGCATCACCCAGATTTGGCAATCACCGGAGCCTGGCAAAAGACAGCAGCAGTTCAACAGCTTATCCCTGCTGTTTGTAAGAAGCCAATAAGACATGGAAGCCGTGAGACCAAAATAAATAACGGAAGCTATTGGCATATGTTTTTCAACGGCTATGCTGCGCCTTTATGCAATAGTAGAGGACCCGGCTTTTATTGAAAGTGATTGAAACAATATCTTATTATTTATTTTGTAATATTTTCATGACATTATTTTTAGTTTTACAGCTCATTGAACCTTTTTGTTTGACATCAGCCATTATAGATAATATGGCCATCTGAGTGTGTGTGGTACTGTTTGTCGTTTGTTTTTAACTGTGTAATACAGATAATTATTCAAATAGAGTTACTTATTTTTAAATTGAAACTTGCACTACTGTTCAAAATAAATAAAAAACAAATGTAGAATTATGCATTTGGGACTTTTTTTTGCTTTTTCTTGTTGTACCGAACTGTGACCCCCAAACCGAGGTACATACCGAACCGTGAATTCTGTGAACCGTTACACCCCTACTCTCTACGTTACGGCTGCTTGACAGGCGTAACAGGAAGACCCTCCGCTATGCAAGACAAAACGTGACTACATTTAAGTATGATGGAGAATTTGCGGAACTTTACCTGAAGCCAGCTACTCTCCTTCGACATACCTACGCCAGTGGCAGAAGCAAACGGCAAGGACGGAAGTGGGCAGGTCTGGGCACCAACGAACAAGAGGCAGCCAACTGGAAGCCTCTGCTCCTTTATAAGTGTGCCCCCTGGTGGTGATAGGCTCACAAGAATATGCCTTACAATGGCGATTAGGACTCATCCTGCAACATAAGCAATCTGAGGCTTCTGTTTTATGGAATGAGCTGCAACACTTTTTGTAATAAAGTAAACCCTCTAGAGAGCTGTGATGGAGGCTGTTTTTTCTTCAACATATTCAAGTATCAAGAATAACTTACCTACATTTGATGGATTTTGCTAACTTATAAATTAACTTATGTGAAGGGCCCAGCCCTTCGTATGTGTTTCTGTATCTGGCCCTCAGTGAAAGAGTTTGGACACCCTGCTGTAGAGCATGAGCATGTTTGTGTGTGCCCTATGGGTCAGGGGGTCTGCAGGAAGAATCCGTGCTGCTGTTCACGGGGTCTTTCACATTAGCAAGCTACAGAAGCATGTCTTTGTGTTGGAGACCATCTGTGGAAAAATCAAAGGAAAATGTGAATCATGGGTAACGCATACAGCACTGTACGCTTTCTGTTAGGCTGTGGAATGTTCTGGAGGCTTCAGTTAACTGAGTGAGACAAGGAGGTCAAACTATGGAGTTCCTACAGACTGCTATTGTACGCCTCATTGAATGGTTCTGTTTCAAGTGTTTAAAGATATTCAAAGGGCTGTGTGTGTGTGTGTGTGTGTGTGTGTGTGTGTGTGTGTGTGTGTGTGTTCATGGCTCTGACCTTTCATATCACACCATCCTGAGAAACGGGGGTAAACAAACATCAGACAGGATGCAGCTTTTAAAACGTCATTCTGTAGAACACAAGTCAACTGGTGCCTGAAACATTATGTTTAATTGTAAAAACATCTCTATTTATCAGAACTATCAGGAATGTTATTGGTATCAAAGGAGTAATCTCGTCATTTATTATGAACAACATTTAATGTACACAGAGGCTCTGCAGAGGGAGTAGTAAACTACTCTACTCAGGGAGAAGAAGTCCCAGAGCCCAAAGGATTTTAAAGACTTTATAAAAAATGTCTGTTCCCCCAACTTTACAGTGTAAAAAGGGATTTTTCCTGAGTGAGCGAAACCAGTGCTTTCCGTGTAACTGCAAAGGCCACGCAGACTCCTGTGAAGACATCACTGGTGTTTGCAGAGTAAGTTTACCCACATTATTTATCTGTCCACATCACTGCATTCAACTTCATTTCCATAGCCAATGTTCTCTCTTCAGAACTGCAGGGACCACAGTACAGGAGATTTCTGTGAGATGTGTGAGGATGGCTACATGCTGGCCCCCAGCCGGGATGGAAGACACACCTGCCGCCCCTGCGCCTGCCCCCTGTCCCTTCCCTCCAATAAGTAAGCCCCTCTCATCTTGTTTGTACAGTCACAGTGCTGTGTGTTGGCAGTGTGCATGTTCGTGACGCCCCCCCCCCCCTGTGTGTGTGCAGCTTTGCAGTGCACTGTGACGGAGGAGCTGCAGTTCTGCGCTGCAAGTGCAAAGAGGGCTACGCTGGACATCTGTGTGAGAGGTCAGTGCTGGGGGGGTTCAAACCACCAACCAGCTCTCTGTGCATAATACAACACCACATCTACAGATGACTGATTGAACATAATAGTCTAGTTGCCAGCATAGTGAACAGAGAAATGTTGCAAATGAATTAAACCCAAATCAAAAAACACTTGATGAATAAATAAAGCAATTATGAATTATTATATATTTTATTTTGTGTATCTTTTCATTTTTTTCTCAACCTGTCCTTTGTTACACACAGCGATACTGAGTCATGTGTACACTTCCTCCATCAGGTGTACTCCAGGTTACTACGGCAAGCCCATGGAGGTTGGTAATTCCTGTAAGAGGTGCGACTGTAACGGCAACTCCGACCCTAACCTGATCTTCAGCGAGTGCCACAACGTGACGGGCCACTGCCAGCACTGCTGGGGTAACACCGGGGGGGCCAAGTGCGAAAGGTGTGCCCCCGGTTTCTACGGCGATGCCATCAGTGCCAAGAACTGCAGAGGTGGGGGCAACGAGTGAACTGCAAGATGTGTTTGAGATCCCATGTTGTGGCTTAAAGCTCTAAACACAGGATGACCTGGGACTTTTTTTCCAGGTTGAATTTAGCATATGACATATACACATATATGTTCATATCTTTATTTTATTTCAGAATGATTACATAAACTGAAAAGTCTGAAACGTTGACTTTAATTACATTTATTGTGTCAACAAATGTTATTAGGTTAGTTGAAAGCAATAATATGTTAACTTATTATTATTGCTTTTAACTAACCTAATACAGTTGTGTGAAATCAGTTGTCATTATACATTTAATAAAGGTAAAGTTTCAGATTTCTTTTCAGTGTATGCAGCAAAAGTTAGACTTAGACTGTGGTGTCAACTGAAGATGTTCGATGGAAAAACCTGATGAGGTGAACCTTCCGGATCAAGGATTAGCATATGCCTTTAGGCCCTGCCTGTCCAAAAATAACCCTGTCAGCAGGCTCTGACCTCTACTTTTCCCATCAGTGAATGTGCCCTTTGTGTGTCGCAGATTGTGAGTGCAGTGAATGTGGCACCTCCTCATGCGACGACAGGACAGGTGTGTGTCACTGCAAGCCGGGAGTCACAGGACGCCTCTGCGACCAGTGTGAGGTGAGAGAGACCACGTGACTGTACTTCCTGTTTGTTCACAGTAGCTCTTAATTCCATGGTTTTGGGCCGTCATTCATATGAGTGACAAAAACATTATTTCGGAATGCAAAGTTCGACCCAGGGTAAGCACAATTTTTGGGGAGACGAATTATATAGACAGTAAAAGTTGGAAAATAAATGCCTAAATTGTAAATATTGAGAATAACATCTGCCTGCTTGCTGTAAAAATATCTAGTTTCAACAGTGGCGAGCCGTGACTTTTATACCCAGGCCATCTGACCCCACGCTCTATCTATCGATAAGATTTATGATTCTTTTATCATTACCTTTTATCTTTTTTGATTACTTTTATAATTTCCCCAGCCCCACCTAGTGTCAGCAGAAAGTATTACAAATAATGATTACAAATGACAAATTACAAACAGATTTTTGTCCACAAGGATAGGCAAATGGACTTCATCTTCAAGTCAAGGTAAGACCACAATTTTATTGAAAATGGGATCTTACTAAGAGAGAACAATTCAATATTTACATGATACAATTACATTTGTTGGGTATCCTTTTGTTGAACTGTCTGTTTAAAATGTATCGAAGCATCAGACAAAAAAAGCTTCTGACTCTTCAGGTTTACAAATATTATATTTTGATTTAGGTCAAAATAATATTTTTAAACCTGAAGAGTCAGTGCCAGTGCCTCACCAGCCATGAACCTCACTGCACGTCACTGCAGAAGCTTACATATAGACATCTAAGTTTTGCGTGCCCCACCACTTTTGTACATATAAAAACTCCACTGAATAAATCTATTGATAAGATTTAAGATTTGAAAATTATAAAAGTAGGGTAGACATGTGGATATCATCCGGCTGAACAAAACGTGATCTGTCTCTTAAATGTGTGTCAACCACAGACCTTATTTCCAGCTATTTTCCAAAATCCTATGGAGAAATTGCATTGTTTGTTGTTGAAGGAACCGGAAGGAGTTTACTTCCGGGTTTTAGGACGCGTCACTGTGGCACTCTATGGCGAGAGAAAACGTATATATTTCGATCCCGTTTGAATTGTGCCATGAATTACACATATGATGTTTGTCAATCTTAAAAAATAATTTCCATGTCAAAAAAGTCACAGTTTGTCATAAACTGTTGAAATATAAGACTAT